CCACTAGATGAAATTTAAATTCTGGCTCCAATTGGAGGGAAAATATCTGAGAGATATTTCACACTTGCATATTCATTGCTTAAGGAGGATAGCATCAAGTGATTGTTTTCAAGTGTGAACAAGCCAGTCCTAGGCCATCAAGTAACACAGAGTAGTCATATCAACCTGTATTCACCTCAGATGCTTTACATGCAGCTGTCCAGCTTTGCATAGTGAGGAATCAGATTACATACATAATTCCAATTTCTGGCCTTCTATGTAAACTGGCCTTCAGAACAGCAGAGGACAGAGTTCTAAGTGCATGCTTGTAGCATGGGACAGCAAGTGTTTAATTTTTAATGCATTGAAACATCTAATTAAGTAAAGAAATGAATGCCTGCAACTGTAGGGAAAAAGACCTCAGTATGAAATAATGACTGAACACAAACAGACGTTCCAGCTAATATTTTCAGCAGCATCAGAGGCATTAAATGCAAAAGTATTGTGTTAAAATAAATAATGCATTAATTAACTTAGTGGAATATGTTTTCATTACCAGCAAAACTTGAAAATTCACAATTTCCAAATCCAAAGAACTGCAAGTGCTACTTCAATGATGGAACTGATCTTTTCAATTTTTCCCAGTCTTCTGCAGCCCTCCTCCCACCCACCATTTGAAAATTTCCTTGTAAGAGTTTGCAGTCCTTGAAGAATACTATGCATTGCAGTACAGCAGGTAGTACCTCCTATAGAAAATGTCCAGAAATCACAGACTCACATCTTTGCCGAGCCAAGTGCTTTCCTGCTCACAGAAGGACACCCTTGGATCCAACCCATTAGATCCATCACATTGATCAAACCCTCTTGAAACCCTCATGTGTATGTTCTATACAGTATTTAACAATTTTTAAAAACTAAGTGTATTTTTCCTACATTCCCCTACAGACCCAACATCTTGTTCATAGTGCTTATTTCTTTAAAAATGTGGTATTGGAATATACAGTTACCACAACAAAAAGCCAGTAAAAATAGCCCCAAAGTCTGAAAATAAAAATAATCACAGTAGTAGGGTGAGCAAGAACCTGCATCTAGTAACTAGATTATTTTATTTAATTATTTATTTGATTGCATTTATACCCCGCCCTCCCCGCGAGCGGGCTCAGGGCAGCTTACAGAGCACGTAGTGCATACAATATAAATGGATAAAACAGTTAAAATTCAATTCATCGGTATTTATTTATTTAATTGCATTAACAATTAACAACAGCCTCAATAGTTACCAATATTCACCCTGACCTGGATAGCCCAGGCACGATCTCATCAGATCTCAAAAACTAAGCAGGGGCGACTCTGGCAAGTACTTGGAATACCAGCAGTCGGGAGGTGGGGGCAGGCTTTATTCAGCCATCTCTGAATATACTCCAAGCCCCCAGGAGGGGTCAGTCACCAGATGTCGCCATGACTTCCAGGTGTGCACACACGTACATATGAAAAATACAAAAAATACCCCCCCCCAATAGTTACCAGTATTCAAGGCCAGTTTCTTTTCGACCCCCACAGTCCTAGCTAGCTCATTCCTCTGTTCACTCAGCAGTATGTTCCACTGGATTCAGTGCATCTTACTTAGGGTTGCCATTTGCTACCAGTGCTCAGTGGAACAGTAGGACGACAAGTGGGGACAAGTGGGGATACTGCATTACACAACACCACAATGTCGTTTCCAGACAGGAACCCACAAATGACAGTGCTGCATTGTGCAGTGCTGTAGGAATTTCACATATCTTACCACAGAATTTCAGAGATATCCTGGAGCACTGGGCAATGCAGTGGTATCTCTACTAGGGATGGGCATGAACTGGAAAAATGAGCTTTGAACCTCGTGATCCCGCACGCCCCATTGAAAGGGACTGCAATCCCTTTCAACAGGGGTTGCAGAAAAGCTGAGAAACAGTTGAGCAGTGGGGAGTAGCCTGCTCCCTGCCACTCAGCTGCTTCAGGATTTCTTGTGCAGTCACTTTAAAGGGCCAGCACAAGAAAGCCCAAAAAACAGCTGAACAGCAGGGAGGCACTCCCTACCACTCCACTGTTTTTGTGGCTTTCCCGGGAAATTGAAAGCAGGGGTTTAAAGGGGACTTGGAGCCCCTTTAAACCCATTTTCTCTTCTATCCACAAACTGCCATGAACTGAACTGCTTTAAAAGTTCATGGAAGTTCATGACAGTAGACCCTCATGAACTGCGGATGAACCACGATCTGGGCAAAATTCATGATGAATTTTGCTTCGTGGTTCACTTTGTGCCCATCCCTAATCACTGTTATGCAGCTGGAATGACATCATAGCATCAAGCAACACCATTTTACCTGGTCTTCCCCCCCCCACCCTTATGCCTATGTGCAGAGGACTGTCTGAAGTTGCTACTGGAAAAAAATAAGCATGGCATTCTCTTCTTATGATCAACAATGATGTAGTTTCACACCCCACAATAGAAATGTACTCTATGGCCTCAAGGCAAAGGATAAAATTTATTTAGTTTATTTATACCCTGCTTTTCTCCCCAATGAGGACCCAAAGCACATCGTTCTCTTCTCCATTTTACCCTCACAACAACCCTGTGAGTTACATTAGGCTGAGAGTATGTGACTGGCCCAAGGTCCCCCATGATGTTTCCATGGCATTTGAACCCAAGTCTCCCAGATCCTAGCACAACATTCTAACCACTACACCATGCTGGCTCTCTAAGTGGTTAGGTATTAGTTCTTACTCCTTTCATTGATAAAGCCCTAAGTAGGTCCCCTCCCCAGAACGTAAAAGCAGAGGGTCAGGAAGTAATTTTATGGGAAGAGACTTTCCTTGATACTTGTAGGCCTCAGGCAGAGAAAGAATTTCACGGCCTGTATTTCAGTATTGAATTTGGCTAAGTAATCAGTGCATTTACCACAGAACCAATTGAAAATATTACCATCTATGTTTGTAAGGAGGTATGTTGCAGCATACTGTACAAGACCCAATATTCTTCTTCTCTCATCACTAATGAATTTTTTGTATAGTATCACCAATGAAGAGTTTGTAATACCACAATATGTTGCACTAGTTGTTGGACTCCACAGCAACCCATCCTAGAACTTGACTATGTCTGCTAATTTAGGTTCAAGTACCATGTTTATCATTTACTAACATCAAACAGAATGGTATTGTATGCTTGAACCAGGAAAACGATGTCGCTGTTGGAGTTGGGGAGATAGTATTGTCAGGATGTACTTTGTTAAGTTGAAGATAGAGAAGCAGGCTTCCTTCAGAATCTGAAGCTGTTTAGGGGAGACTGATATGCTCTCTTTTGCTTGATGTTAGCTACTTGAACACAAATTTGTTGTTGTTCCATAATCGTGGGGCTGCCACTGAATGCTACAGTGCTGCCAGAGACTTTTGAACTGAAGGTGTTTCCACACAGCCAAGAGTTTTGAAAACTAGTGCTTCACTTCCAATTGAATTTATTTTCTGTATCCCACAACTTTGTTGCATTCTCTCACTGCCTCCAATTAGTATTACAGTGGCCTCTGGTGGCTGACATGGGTAGCTGGAGCTGAACCATTCCTTTACAGGATGTAATTTGGCTAATGATGCAGTTTCAGTAGAACATCTTTTTTTTCCACTGATGAGCTCTGTAGTTGAATGAAGCGCACCCTGTGCTCTGCAAGGAGCCAGCATTGCATCTCCATGTACAGAAGGTACTAACAAATGCTTGAAGGTTGCAGAAGCGATGAAAGCAACAATTGATATGATTCATCATATCCATGTTAACAGAAGGTCCCTCAACGTTAGAAGAACATGACCACTGCCATGGCTTGCATAGTCTAAGCAAAGTTACCCCCATCTAATAACATTGAATTTGATTGGCTCAGAATGGTGTACCTCTCCTTACAATGGCACTGCAAGTGACTGAAAGAGCCACACTTGCAGCTCAGCCCTTCAGAGAACAGGAGACTAAACTTTTCCCTTGCTGTGGTCTAATGGGCAACACTAATATCTTTATCCATGTTAGGCAGATGCAGGAATATAGCTAGTGAAGGAAGAAGATTATTTACATCTGTATAACTAAATCTGTTGTTATTGTGATCCTAGCATATCAATATAAAATCACAGTAGCTAACCCTAATGACCTAATTGAACAAGACCTGATTGGGTGAATTATACTGGTCATTTTTGCTGGCAAAAAAGAGAAGAGTTGCCCCTACTGTGGGCAACATGGGCCTCTTGTGGGCTCAAACTATGTAGGACAAGACCTGAAATGGGGTACTGAACAAGATCAAGTGCACAAACCTGAAGAATCCAATGCAATGCTTTTAAAAAATGAAATGAAAATTTTAAAAAATAATAGCTGAAAATCTGACACATTTACTCACATGGTAACCAGAAACTGGAAAAATGTTCCCAAAAAGCCAGCTATCTTTGGGCAAGAATTTGTTGTATATATTTTACTTTTACTTTTAGCAAACAATAGCACAAGCCACCCACACACACACCACAATCAGAGATGGCCGATTCTTAGATGAGATGGTAAAAACTGCCTGATGTGCCTCCCACTTTAGGTTTTCTGAAGATTGTCAAGCCGCCCAAATGTTTGTCATTATATACTTTACAGAAACTCGGTACTCTTTTAGGGGGGGATTTAGTTATTTATATGCAAAAAACTCCAACAAACTTTCCACTCTCCATAGTCTTTTCTTTGCCAGGAAACCTTATAGCTTACTTTCCTGAGAGCAGAACTCATGTCTGAAAAAAATCTCTTAATCAGAACTGGGAAGGTTCCTAATTTATGAATTGAGGTTCAAAAGTATTTTACTTACATTTTTCTCATATTGGAATATCCTAACCTGAGTATATTTCCTGTTCCAATCTTACATTTTGCTAAATGCTAGAAGCACTGAAAATAAATATTGGAATGGTTTCTAATATAAATTTATTATACAAAAATTGCTATGTTTTTGGCAAAAGATGTATATATACAAAAGCCATTTGGGGTAAAATTTAGTATTTCCCACCACATAACAATGGTACATTTTTAAAAATAAGCAAACACAAGGAAAACAAATTGTTCTCTCTCAGATGAAGATTTTTTTTAAAAAAAGACACTGCATATTTGATTTCACGGGCGTCTGAAAGTATCCCTTCCTCCAGAACACAGTTCAATTAAGATGGTACCTTACCAGCAAGTGAAGACCTGTACATTTTATCTCTAGTGCCAAACATTGATTACAGGCATCAGATCTTTAAACAGGATGTTTAACCAACATTCTTTTGGGTTCACAATGCTTCAGTGACAATTATTAAACTTTCCTACTGAACAGATTTGGTGAAATCTTTACCAGTTTACCAGCAAATCCAAAAGGTACAGCAGAGCATTTAGGGATATAAGAAAAGAATTTGGATATGGCAAAGCTGTGAAAGAGCCACAAATGAAAGCCTGCCAGGGGTAATGTTTCTTTCCTTTATCTATTGCGGAAGACTAGAATAAAGTTCTTCAGATCTAGCCCAAAAGTATATCACACAGTCCTTAAGAGGAAAGTAATCAAAAGGTAACATAAACATTATACATACATGAACTATGAGCACATATAATGTTAACCTCTGCAAGGATATATATCGTAAATAGAAGGGCCTGAAGATATCATGAACAAACCAATGGTGGAAGACTGCATCGCTCAAGTCAAGCCTGCTGAGTTCTGACCTAAATGTTATCAAACCAGAAAGAACTTTTAAGACCTTGGTGATTCATTGAAGAGAATTCAAGGTTCCTACTTTTCAATAAGGCGCTTTTGTGTCTGAGGAAGTTATTAGTTCTATTGATTCTTCTTCCAGTTCTTCTAAGTAAACAAACTTCCTGAGTTCTCCAAATGATTTTTGTTCTGGGTTCCAAAAAGCATTAAGATCTTTATTATTAAGTCATGACTGAAATCGCCGTCGTCTCCTGTAGAAAGCCTTTAAGTTCCATGAACTTGATTCTAGCATAGAAGATCCATTGTAGACCAACAACACAGTCATTTTCTCTGTGTAAGTGAGGTCCTGCAAAAGCTGTCAACAAACCGAGGAAGAAAGCCCCATTAAAAATACCGCCTCTACCAAGCACAACAATTGTTAAGTTAATATACCTCAGCACTTCCCACAGACCTCTACACAGCAGCTGTATGTCATCCCTCAGGTACATACTGCTGTTGTGCTCTCTCCTTTTTGACATACCAAGGTCAGGGTTTTTGTTTTTTTTGCCAGGTGGGAAAACAACACATTTAGAATAAATTATGATTACAGTAAGACCCCTGATTTTATTGTTATTCTTCTTTATAGCACTCTTCACCATCACAGCGATTACATAAACATCACCACATTGATATCATCAGCGACTACATTCCAAATGACATTTTTTTCCTGCCATTAGCAGGCTTGCAGGATCCATGAGAACATAGGCAAAAGCAGGAAGATTTTTTTAAAATAGAGGCAGAGATATGGTAAACAAAGGATCCACAATAAAGTGCAACTACAGAAAGATGTTGGAGATTTTAGAAAAGGAGTTGAAAGGAAGAAAAGGTGTTGAGGAAAAGATGTAGGGAATGTGGGGGAGCACCAATAAATATGGTTTTCAGTCTATGAGTAAAAGCTGGGTTGGACCCTGCGGAACAATTCCGGTAGCAAATAAGAACATAACAGAAGCCAATGCTGGATCAGGCCAAAGGCCCATCCAGTCCAACTCTCTGTATCACACAGTGGCCAGAAATACCAGTGCCATCAGGAGGTCCACCAGTGGGGCCAGGACACTAGAAGCCCTCCCACTGTTGCCCCCCCCAAGCACCAAGAATATAGAGCATCACTTGCCCCAGACCAAGAGTTCCTATCTATACCTGGTGGCTAATAGCCACTGATAGATCTCTGCTCCATATGCTTATCTAATTCCCTCTTGAAGCCATCCATGCTTCTAGCTGCCACCACCTCCTGTGGCAGTGAATTCCATGTGTTAATCACTCTTTGGGTGAAGAAGTACTTCCTTTTATCCATTCTAACCCGACCGTGCTTTCCCTTAGGAGAACTCCTTGTTAGAATTGACATTCTGATGAGCAATCAAAAATATGTTCAGAGATGCCTAGAATAAAGTAACATGGGTATAATATGGCCAAGGTAAAGCACTCTGAAGACCTACTGACTTCAATAGGAGAGATTTCAGAATGGGCTAGCATCAGAATCCAGGGGCCAGGATCACACCCATGGTTCAAATGTACTAGAAACTTTTAAAAACTATTACATAAGAAAAGGTTTTGTATTAGTCACAGAAGTATTTACGAATATGAAATCATATTTTTAAAATGTATATTCCCCTCACATCCTTTTTTTAACACCACCACCTAAGAATAAATAAAAATATACTTCTCTAAGAATGTACAAATCTCGTCACAATCTTTAAAATACCACTACCACAATTCTGTTTATTGTCCTCCCTCTCAAAATGTACCATGGAGCTGGGGCATCACAACAGAGAAGGACCCACTGATTCAATACAACATAGAGGTACTATTTCAAACAGGAAATTTCCTGCAGGTCTCAAAAGATAGGAAGATTTATAGGGGCAGGGACATTCCCTCTGAGACGCAAGCAGCGAGGGGAATTTTATGAACATGTCTGCCAGCTGTAGAGCAGGACTGAGTTTATGTTTCAGGTATTAAAGTCTGAACGTGGTCAGAGACACAAGCCAAAGGGCAAGAAAAGAGTTGCACTTACCTACAACTGTTGCTCACCAATGTCTTCTGTGCAGACATAAATTGGGACTGCGCTGGTGCAGGCCGGCCATGGGCATTCTCTTTCTAGCTTAAAAGCTCCAAAGAGGGGGCACTCTGCCCCTTTTGGAGCTGGCGCATGTGTGGGATTCCCGCTCAATGCATCACATGCTCCGATGACAGGCCCTCAGTTTCCACTAAGCTGCCGCGAGCCCCCTTTCATGGCACAAGAGGCCCTGTGAGAGCTCACGGTGGGGCAGGAGGGAGGGAATGTGTGTCTGCACAGAACACGTCAATGAACAACACTTAAAGGTAAGTGCAACTCTGTTTTCATCTGTCTTCTCAAGCAGCCCCCCATTGGGACCATTAGCGAGCTACTCCCCAGAGGAGGTGGGATGAGTCTCTCACTGGAACAGAGTTTGTATAATAGCTTTGCCCACATCTGATTCTTTCCTTGCCTGAAGACCTAAAGCATAATGCTTCACAAATGTGTACTCTGTCGACCAGGTTGCCCCCTTACAGATGTCCAGAAGGGGAACTTGTCGATGAAAGGCGGCAGATGAGCCCTGCACTCAGGTGGAGTGCACTTTCACATCAAGAGGACATGGCTCCCCAGATGCTATGTCGCAGGAATGGATGGCCACCACGATCCATCTGGACACAGACTGGGCTGAGGCAGCTTTGCTCTTCTTGTGGCTTTGTCCTTATGAAATTGTTTGGTTCTTTCTATATAGTGAAGGACGGCCCTCCTAATGTCAAGGGCACGTAGGGCCTTCTCCACCTCCGAGCTCAGAGCAAGGGAAAAATACCAGTAGGATGATTTCCTGTGTTAGGTGGAACTTGGAAGCTACCTGAGGCAGGAAGTCTAGACTCAGGTGTAATACCACCCGCTCACTGAAAACCTTGAGAAAAGGTGGATCGACTCTAAGTGATGCCAGTTCGCTGACCCTTCTGACTGAGGTAATAGCCACTAAAAACGCTACCTTTCTTGAGAGTAAAGCTAGGGAGCAGGTACCTAGAGGTTCAAAAGGAGGTTTCATCAGTCTCCCTAATACTAAGGGCAATGACCACTGTGGAAGAAGAAGAAGAGGAGGAGGAGGAGGAGGAGGAGGAGGAGATTGGATTTATACCCCGCGATTCACTTGGAGTCTCAGAGTGGCTTACAAACTCCTTTCCCTTCCCCTCCCCACAACAGACACCCTGTGAGGTAGGTGGGGCTGAGAGAGCTCTGACAGAAACTGTTCTTTTTCAAGAACACCTCTGACAGAACTATGGCTTGCCCAAGGTCATCCAGCAGTTGTGAGTGAAGGAGTGGGGAATCAAACCCGGTTATCCCAGATTAGAGTCTGCACACTTAACCACTATACCAAACTGGCTCTCAACAATATGGGGTGGGACAATATGGGGTGTTGGGGGGAAGACACTGTTCAGCCCTTTTAAAAAGTACTGAGCCAATTTGTGAGCAAAAACAGGAGTCCTCTGCACTTCCTCGTGAAATGCAGTAATAGCCCCCAAGTGGATCTTCACTGAAGACACTGCTAAACTGGCCTGTGCTAGCAAGAACAGGTATTCCAAAACAAATGGCAATGGCCAGGTAAAAGGGAGTTCCCCTCTAGCAGACATTAGGACTCAAATCGAGTCCACTTCCTGCCATAATAATACCTAGTTGAAGGTTTATGGACTTGAAGCAAGATCTCTTGTACCCCTTGGGAGAAGGAGTGCCCTATGGCTGGATCCTCCATGCTGTCAGATGTAGCTGTGCTACATCATGGTGCAACAACAAGCTGTGTATCAGCAGGTCTGGAGCGAGGGGGGGGACAGATTGAGCGGGGCCAGAAGGGAGCTACTAGGATACAATCCGTCTGATCAACTAGCATCTTCCCTATAACCTTGTTCAGGAGAGGAAAGGGAGAAAATGCACAGAAAAATGTGCTTGACCAAGGGATCTTGAATGTGTCCCCCAGAGAAGTCGAATTGCTGCCCACCAGGGAACAGAACTTTGGTGCTTTCTTGGATTCATCTGTGGCAAACAAGTCCAACTAAGGATACCTACAAGTGTCAAAAATTGCCTTGATATATTTGTCCTGGATTGACCACTCGTAGTTGGTCTGACAGACCCTGTTCAGGTTGTCTGCTTCTTTATTTGAAGACCCTACTATGTGGATAGCCCTGGGAAGGCCCCAGTACTCATAGCAATTTCCCACGCTGCTGTTGCCTCTAAGCAAAGCCTCCGGGAACCCGTGCCTCCTTGTTTGTTGAAATAGCACACTGTTGTGGTGTTGTCCATCTGGATCAGCACCCTCTTGTCTTTGAGGATATCTGAAAAGGAGGTAGGGGCAAATAGTTTAGTGTAATGGGTGAGAGTGGCGGATTCTAATTTGGAGAACTGGGTTTGATTCCTCACTCTTGCACATGCAGCCAGCTGGGTGACCTTGGATCAGTCACAGTTCTCTCAGAGCTGTTCTTTCAGAGCTTTCCCAGCCCCACCCATCTCACAGGGTTTCTGTTATGGGGAGAAGAAGGGAAGGGGATTATAAGCCACTCTGAGACTCTGTCTAAGCAGCAAAAAATTCCTGTGAGATTGGTGAATTGAAATGTAAAAATAGGCATCCCTTAAATGAAGAACTGCAAACCATAAACCTGGAGCAAGGAACTCAATCACAGAAGGAAGTGAGACCATTCTGAACTTTGCAGTTTTCAAGAAATTATTTAATTTTCTGAGATACAATACGGGCCTGTGCCCATCATCCTTTTTATCAACTAGGAAGAACCTTGAATGGAAGCCCTAGGAATGAAGCCCACCTTGGACCTATTCCACTGCACCCTTCCTGAGAAGCTACTCTAGCTGAACTCTAAGTTCTAGGTAGGGATTATCCACTGCGATCAAAGCCAAGTGGAGTGGCAAGGTGGCTGGGATAACAACTCTAACCTATAACCTTCTTGAACTGTAGACAAAACCCAACTATCCAAACTAATCTGGCACCAAGCCTATGCAAATTGTGCCAGCGTATCCTTGAAACTGAAAATACCAGCAACTACTGGGGCGGACAGTGAGAACTTTGCTGGCTGTTGGCCTTGGTCCCTCTGGGGGTTCTGTTGAGGAGTCCTCAACCGCAGGGTACCCTTTCTTTTTGAAAGGGGGGGTGTGGACTGGAATGGGTGTTGAGGATACATGAACGACGGCTGGTGGTGGAGCCTCTGGCCCCTGTAGAAGGAAGTAGCAAAGCCATGTTGCCTTTGAGACAAATGCTGTCTCTGGATCAGAACTGAGGAGAACACCTCAACAATCTGGCTGTCTGGTGGTTCTTCTTCACAGTGGAGACGAACTCATCAGTGGACTGTTATGCTTACTTTGTATGCTGGTCTTAAGACTGTAATAATAATAAACTAAACATCAGTGGACTGTGAAAAAAAGAGTTGATGCCTTGAAGGGGAGATCTCTTCTTCTTCTTCTTCTTCTTCTCCTTCTTCTTCTTCTTCTTCTTCTCCTTCTTCTTCTTCTTCTTCTTCTCCTTCTTCTTCTTCTTCTTCTTCTCCTTCTTCTTCTTCTTCTTCTTCTCCTTCTTCTTCTTCTTCTTCTTCTCCAGGAAAGACTCTCCCAGAGGAAAAGTTGGTAGCCTCCCATAATTACTCAATAATTTGCTACTTGGAAATTGAGAGCGGATGAAGCATAAAACTTTATCCCCAAAGTATCCAGATGGTGGCTTTCCATGTCCACTGGGGATGAATGCTGGCCAGGTCATTGGCGTGCCTGCATGTCTTCCGTGACCAATGAGGACAGTGGCGAGTACATGGACAGAAACTCACAGGAGTTCTGCTTTACTCTATATAAATTCTTACAAGGTGTGGCCTGGATAGAGGCTAGTTTCTGCCAGATTGGAACTGTGAGATCAGAGAGGCCCTCCAAGATTGGAAAAGCAACCACTATCTATGGAGTATTGGAGTAGAGTGCACTCAAAATTCAGGCCTTTGGATGGTTGTATGAAGTGGAGACATCAATATCAAAGGCTTCTGCCAATCTCAGCATCTGTTCTCTGTAGAGACGGAGGTCTTTACTTGGGGATACAGGAGTCGGATCGCCCACAGTATCATCAGGTGATGGGTCTGAGGCACTCTTAGAACTATAACAAGAAGCTGTGGAGACCTCTTCTTCAGGTTCATGGAACAGGAATCGGAATGGAACCATGTACCTCCTTGTATTTGGGTCATGCTCCTCCAAAATTGGTGGGTGATGTCCAGGCCATCTATTTAAGTAGGATGGCAACATATAGTAAGAATGCTGAGGAGGGTCCACTGGTTGCCAAGATAAAGGAGGTCCTGATTCCAATGGCACCAGTTGTCCTGCTGGGATGCTAGGTTGGTCGTCATCTGCATCTGAAAAGAAACCGGCAATGGAGGCTAGGTGAAGTAACAGGGTACATGGGGGAACCAGGATGACGTCCTGGTTGGACTCTGGACTCTTAGAAGACTTGGCACATGCTGACTTGGAAGCGGACAGTCTTGTCCTCATGCTTTGATTTCTTATGCTTCTTCACAGGAGAATCTAAATGTGATCAGACCTTGGTCGAAGGTCCTGGAAAAGGCTTTGCGAACGGCTAGATTCTGCCTCCATGGCAACCAAAGCAGCCCTTTTTGGAGGGATAGGAGCTGTACTGATAGTTGAACTTGCAAGACAGACCAATGGGGCCCCAGAACAGGATTCAATAGTCAGGGCCGGGAGAAGAGGACCTGAGACAGCAAACTCGGAATCACTCTGGACAGAGCTGAGGAAGACAAAGCCTTCTTTCACAGTGCAGCTTTCAACCTAGAGGCCCTATCTGCCTGAGCCTTCAAGGTAAAGTGCTGGCAAATTGGACAAGTTATAGAATCACAGAAACACAGAGTTGGAAGGGGCCATACATGCCATCTAGTCCAACCCCCTGCTCAATACAGGATCAGCCTAAAGTATCCCTGACAAGGGTTTATCCAGACGCTGCTTAAAGACTGCCAGTGAGGAGGAGCTTATCACCTCCCTAGGCAGCTGATTCCACTGTTGCACAACTCTTACTGTAAAAACGTTTTTCCTAATATCCAGCCGGTACCTTCCTGCCTGTAATTTCACCCATTATTGCAAATCCTATCCTCTGCTACCAACAAGAACACTTCCCTGCCCTCCTCTAAGTGACAGCCTTTGAAATATTTAAAGAGAGCAATCATGTCCCCTCCCCTCAACCTCTTCTCCAGACTAAACATTCTCAAGTCCCTTAGCCTTTCCTCATAGTGCTTGGTCCCCAATCATCCTCGTCACTCTCCTTTGCACCAGCTCCATTCTGTCCACATCCTTTTCGAAGTGAAGCCTCCAGAACTGCACATAAAACTCCAGGTGCAGCCTGACCAGTGCAGTATACAGTGGGACTATGACATCTTGCGATTTGAATGTTATGCCTCTGTTGATACACCCAAGATCACATTAGCTTTTTCTGTTACCGTATCATACTGGCCACTCGTATTTAACTTACGGTCCACCTGTACCCGTATCTTGTTCACACACAATGCTACCCAGAAGCATACCCCCCCCCAACCAGTATGTGTGTTCCTCATTTTTGTTACCCAGATGTAGAACTCGGCAATGATCCTTGTTAAACTGCATATTGTTCACATCTGCCCACTTTTCCAGCGTGTTCAGATCTCGTTGAATTCTATATCTTCTGGTGTGCTTGCTTCTCCTCCCAATTTGGTGTCAACTTCAAATTTAATGAGTAGCCCCTCCACATCCTCATCCAGATCATTTATAAAAATATTTAAAAGTACTGGGCCCGGAACCGAGCCCTGTGGTACCCCACTGGACATCTCCCTTCATTCAGATTGACATTGAGTGCAGTTCTTCAACCAGTTCCCTATCTACCTAACTGTCCTACAGTCCAGTCCACAGTCTTCTAGCTTACCCATCAGAACATCATGGGAAACCCTGTCAAACGTTTTACTGAAATTCAGGTAAACAACATTAACAGCATTCCATCGATCCAGTAAGCTAATCACTTGATCAAACAACGAAATCAAGTTGGTCTGGCAGAACCTGTCGGGGACAAATCCGTGCTGACTTCCTCGGATCACCAAGTTGTCCTTTAGATGTCTGCAGATTGATCCTTTTAAAATCTGGGACAGAGGTCAGACTGACTGGCCTGTAGTTTCCTGGGTCATCCCTCCTCCCTTTTTTGAAAATTGGGATAACATCTGTCCTCCTCCAGTCTTGTGACACGTCTCCCATCCCTCCAGGAGGTCTGGAAGATGATGGACAAAGGTTCTGCAAGCTCACTAGAAAGTCCTTTGAGCACTCTTGGGTGCATACCATCTGGCCCAAGGTATTTGTACTCATTCAATGCAGCCAGGTGCTTCTCAACTACCTCTCTATCCATGTCAACCAGCAGCCCAGATGCTGTGCCTTGTGTACTACCATCTCTAGATGACCCTCTTCTTCTCTTCAGGAAAAAAACTGAGGCAAAATAGGCATTGAGCCTTTCTGCTTTCTCTCTGTCCTCTGTCCGAATGTCTCCATTTTCACCCAACAGTGGGCCCATCGCCTCTTTTATCTTGAGTTTGCTCTTCACATATCTGAAGAGGTTTTTCTTGTTGTAGCAAGCCTCCCTGGACAGCTTTAGCTCACTGTGAGCTTTGGCCTCTCTGGTGGCTGACCTACAGTGCCTAGCAACCCGCAGATACGCTTCTTTAGAGGTATGTCCTTGCCTCCATTTCTTGAACATTTCCTTTTTCTCCCTTAGCACCTCATGGAGTTCTCTGTTCACCCACATTGGCTTCTTGGATCCCCTACCATGTTTCTTTCTTGTTGGAACAGCGATGGCTTGCGCTTGCAAGAGCTCTTGTTTTAGGAGAGCCTTTCTCTTCCCTTTCCCTTCCTTTCCCTTCCAGCAGTCTTGCCCATGGAATGATTGTCATCATGCCCCTCATTTTATTAAAATCTGCCCTACTGAAATCTAACATCCACGTGCGACTACGAACTTCGTTGGTCCCCTACAGCAAAAGGAATTCTAGCAGGACATGGTGACTTCCCCCTAAGGTCCCCACCACCTTCACCCCACCTACCATCTCTTGCCTGTTAGTCAATATTGAGTATCGCCAAGCCCCTCGTATCTTCCTCCACCATTTAATGAAGAAAGTTGTCAGCCAGACAAGTCAGGAACATACGTGACTGTGAACGCTTTGCAGAGTTTGTCTCTCAGCACACATCAGGGAAGTTCCAATGTTGTGGGCCTCTTCTAAGCACAGGAGGCAGAGCTCATGCTCCTCACTGTGCGTCATTTTTGTTCCACATTACGAACATTTCTTAAACACTGCCTTGGACGCCATGATGAGGGACCACAAGCACAACAGACAGGAAGAGCCCATTTTACGATGGGGCTTGCCACCCATGAGATAGAATCCTGAACGTATGAAAAATAATTCTTTGAAGGAGAAAAAGGGGTCTACTTTATTCACAATGACAACAAACATCAACAGAGTACGCTACAAAACTTCCTATCCTCACAGTGGTGAAAAAGGAACTGAGGGAAGGGGGAGCCCACTGTCAGAGCACATGACATGTTGGGCAAGAATCCCATGCATGTGCCAGCTCCAAAAGGGGCAAGGCGCACCTCCACTTTGGAGTTTTTAAGCTAGGAAAAAAATGAACCAAAGGATTATTGGCCTGTGGCCTTGAGAGAGCTAGCCCAGCTGGATGCCTGGAATTATATTGGATTTCATTTCTGTTGCTGGTGGGTTGTTAATTATATTTTTGTAAGCCCCTTTCATTCCCCAGTGGGGAGAAAAACACAATATAAATATTTAAATATATAAAAATAAACGAATGATAATAACTATACCTTGAATTGTGCCTATGTGGTAATAGGCAGCTGATACAGCCAATTTAGGATGGCTGTATATGTCCCTAGTAACCCACCAGTTAGATTTCTATCAACTGAAGACACACAATTTGCAGCTACTCACCTTTGGTGTAATAAAGAAGTACTGAGAAGTACTCTCTTTGCAGGCAGTTTTTACCACCACATCGAAGACTCTCCTTTCATTGACTGGGTCCATTCCCTTTAAAAGAAGTATTGGTGTGAAGAAATGCATTTTTTTCTTTGGAGGTTTGAAATAAGCAAAACCTTCACTCTGAGTTTTAACAGTTTTTTTTCCCTCTGGCAGAGAACAGGCTGGAAGGAGGGAAGTCAGTCCAATTGCTTTCCAGCTTATCTTCATACAAATGCTAATAGATCTAACAGAAGAGATAATGGGATGGTCAAGCTCCCCCCCTTCAAGCAGGGAACAGAGATTTGGAGGTGTTAAATGCTAGAGAAGATTCAGGAAGGAAATTTCTGGAGGCTTCAGTAAAGGCTCCACCTGGCCTGACCTGGTCAGTGGGTGGAGAAAGAGATATGATAAAAACACCTTGCAGCAAGGAGGAGCTCTTTCATGTGGAGTCCCCCAGAGGAGACAGAACTCTTAACTGAGGTATGAAGCAGGCTGCCATTGACCATGTGCTCGCCTAACTGGAGAGCTACAAAAAGCTTCAAGGTAATAGAAACTCTGTAAGATTTTAACTCCTAAGCTGAAGTGCCTGCCCTATATCTTAACAACTGATAGGGCATATATAGAGGGAGGGACAGAGGATTTTTGTTTTACCCATTTCTTTTGGATCCCTTGCTCAATCTAGTGCTGTGCTAAAGGTATGCTTATGAACATTTTCTCTAATAAATACTTTATAACTTTTGATGCTGGCAGTGGTTCTCTGTACCACACAGACCTCCACCTTCTTGGACACATTATTTTAAAATGCCAGGGGGAAGGCAGGCAATTGGCAAGCAGCTATTCTTTTAGGGGTGCACAAGGCAGTAAACTTTCCTTGTGGATCTTGGAAGGGAAGCTGGGAGCCCTGACCCCCCCCCCCCAGCAGGCAATTCCTATCAAGGTCAGGTGGTGGTGGCAGGCTGCTCAAGAGAAAGAAAAGCCTCTCTCTAGGTGCTGGGAAAACCTTGGAGGGCAGGGTGGAATAGGGCTTGCATGTCAGAGCAGGCAATCTGCCACAATCTGTATTAACATTTCTTCTCCCACTACTGAACATGGTTGAATTAGACTCATGGGCAAGCATACTACCTGATTTATTTCATCTACTACTCTGAATGGGCATCTGTTGAGTTCCTGCAAAGCCATCAAATACAACATAGTTGAAACACTCCTCTCCCCTCCACTCTGGTGGTGTGGAGTTAGTTCATGAAGCTGAGTGCTACTGCGGAACTTGACTCTAATCCGAATCCCATATTTATCATATTCTTCCTGTTAAGAGTGAAAGAGTGGTATTAGAGATCCACAACTTGGCATACTGTTATTAACAATAGAAAAATAATTTTCAAAAACCACCTTACACAGCTGTTGCATTGTGTTAATGTGTATCTGACCCATGTTCAAACCCTCACTCAGCTATGATGTTCCCTCCCTCACTGTCTGCCTAAACTTCCTCAGAATTGTTGCAAGAATAAAACAGAATGGCTCCACATGCACCCCTTGGAGGAGCTGCAAGACAGCAACCTAATCAATCAAGACATGGCAATGATAAAATGTGTGCATTTTAATGTCAGTATTTAATCCAGACAATTAAAAAAGCATCCTCCATTAAATGAGCACCGTCTTCAAAGAAGCCTTATGCCTGCCTTTTTTCCTACCCATGACCAATGCTCCCACTAAGCCGTGGAGTCTTGTGAGCAAAAATTCTACTTTGTGAGCAACTGGCATTAAAGCTGTCAGCGAGCGATTTGGCTGCTGCATAAATCAGTTTGCTTTGGAGCCATCCTTCCTGAGCTAAGACAAAAATGTGTGAGTCAGTGGCTAAAAAACTGTGAGCTAGCTCACACTAACTCAGCTTAGAGGGAACACTGCCTATGACTCTCCCATTTGGGCAACAGATTGAGGAGAGGGAGAAACATGATACAGAGGCATGGAAGCTTTAAGCTCTATCATCTGCTAGCATCTTTGATGCTCCTCACATCTTGGAGGAGTTCACAGTGGCAAAAAAGGACAATTAGTCCTCCTCACTACTAATGCAACATAACACTCTGGCTTCCAAGTAGGCTGCAGTTCTGCACATGACCTTGGAAATAAGCCCCCCTGAAATCAGCAGGGCTTAGTCCCTGAGCAGGCACAGAAAGGCTATACTTCAGAAAGAGTGGTTTTATGCATGTGCAGATTCATACAAATTAAATTAATTCTATGCATTTAAACTGAACAATTAATTGACTAAAACTTTCTCAAGTGGATGGCAATCCTAATTTTGTGATCTGTGAAACCGCAGTTCTCTTCAAATATTTTGACTGAAATGGCAACCTGTTGATGTAGACAGCTGAAAGATGGCTTTAGAATGATGTCAATGAACTAACCGTTGTGTTTTACAAGCACATTTGCAAAGATGAGTTCCTGTTTACATACCAAACAATGGGTATTAGTCATGGATAAGCAGAATGGTTTGCTGGTGTTCACATAAGGATTAAAAAAAAAAATTAAACTGAGGGAACTTAGCTGATCTGGCCACCTGGATAAATGCTGCAGTAACATTGAGTTTAGACTACTGTAATGCACTCTACAAAGGTCTCCCCTTCAAATCAACTTGGGAGACTCCAGATGATTCAAAATGCTGCAGTTCGATTATTACTGGGAGCTAGGTGGAGGATGCATATACTTCAGAAAGAGTGGTTTTATGCATATGCAGATTAATACAAATTAAATTATTAATTCTATGCATTTAAACTGAACAATTAATTGACTAAAACTTTCTCAAGTGGATGGCAATCCTAATTTTGTGATCTGTGAAGCTGCAGTTCTCTTCAAATATTTTGACTGAAATGGCAACCTGTTGATGTAGACAGCTGAAAGATGGCTTTAGAATGATGTCAATGAACTAACCGTTGTGTTTTACAAGCACATTTGCAAAGATGAGTTCCTGTTTACATACCAAACAATGGGTATTAGTCATGGATAAGCAGAATGGTTTGCTGGTGTTAAATTGAGGATTTAAAAAAAAAATTAAACCGAGGGAACTTAATTTAAGTGGATTGGTTAGGCTCCTGTGGAAAACCTGCAGGACACAGCATAAGGATTTCTAGCTGATCTGGCCACCTGGATAAATGCTGCAGTAACATTGAGTTTAGACTACTGTCATGCACTCTACAAAGGTCTCCCCTCAAAATCAACTTGGAGACTCCAGCTGATTCAAAATGCTGCAGTTCAATTATTACTGGGAGCTAGGTGGAGGATGCATATTACACCCAAGCTACTGTAACTCCACTGGCTACCCATCAGTTACTAAGTTCAAGTCAAGGTATTAGCTATTTTACACAAAGCACTTCATAGCCTTGGAGTCTCATATCTGCAAGACCTCCTCTCCAGCTATGTCCCATCACAACAACTTTGGTCATCTGAGCAGAGCTTCTGCAGGTGCCATCTTGCAGATGAAGAAGAACAATGGCCTGTACACACGCCCTCTCTGTAGTGGCCCCCCCACTCCTGGCATTTCGTAAACCATGTGAAACAGAGTTTTTCAAACGGGCATTTTTATAAAGGAAACAGTAATATGTCATAACAGAACAACCTTGGAAAATGCACTGTTTCCTACTGATGTAATGCCATGTTCTGCATTGTTAAACATGCCGTGTTTAATACTTCTGCTTTGTTCAGACAACAGTTCTATTTCAAATTTCTGCAATTCCTAGTCCTATTACATTGCTTTTAAGATGTATCATCCTACTGATTACACTGATTTACATTGCATAATCCATCTTGAATCTCACTGAGAAAGGGCAGACTATGAATAATGTAAATAAAAATAAAATATATTTATGGTGACTGAATCCCTGGGAAGACGTTTTGTCCCTTCATTGGGCCAGAGTAACACCAGAGCACGATGGAAGACAGGAGGGCCTGGCGTGATGTGGTCCATGGGGTCGCAAAGAGTCGGATTCAACTGTGCAACTGAACAACAACAACAAAACACAGGAAAAAGCACAGCTGTTTCCTAAGGGACAGGTCTGTCCAGGGAGAAAGACACCTATGAGCCCTCATCAGACATCGGATTTAGAAAGTAAATGGAGAGGACCAGACAACATTTGGCAGGAAGGAGACAGCTGGGTGCAGGGCTATCTTGTCTCTCTGAAGCTGCAACTAAAAAGGGTCTGAGTGCAGAGTTCACCGAACCTCCTTGCTGAGCACATCACAGAAGAAGAGTCTTAAGTTACAGAGAGCCAGAGGTGAGGACCGTCTGTAAATTCCATAATGGTACAGGTGGTGCTGTTAGAGGGTGAAACCCAGCAAGGCCACTGAAAAGCTGCTTTACCAGATGACAAGAAATAGCCTTGCACCGATAGGCATAATGCAGAGATGATAACTAGAGAGACCTTGAGAGTAGCAGGTCCTAAACCCAGAGAGGTGGAGGAGGTACTCTAGGAGAGATCTCACAGGACAGACAATCCATGGATCCCAGCTCTGCACTGAAGTGACGATATGGAAGTGCTTCCACTTCACTCATAGGACTGTTGTGTAAATGGGTGCCTAGCATTCAGGAGTATCTCTCTCAGGTGATACCCTAGCTCACCAGGTTCAGGTGTCTATGTCTAGATGTAGAATTAGGCCACAGTTCTGTGGCAGCAGGTTTTGGGCATTGGTCAGATGGAGATGATGGCCCTTCCAAAAATGTACTGGTGGAACTTGGTGAACTGGTGGATGTCAGTGGTCAAGTGCTAGAACCCAGAGTGAGTGTCAGTGCCTGGTTAGTCAGCTTCAGGCAATTGATGCAGGTCTTGGCTAACTGCCGCTCCCCAAGGCCGAGGAAACCAGTTGTGGCCAGTCTATGGAAACTTTATTCTGAACCGCCAACAGTTTTTACAGGGCATTTCCTGTGCCATAGGCACCAGGGAATCACAGAGAACAAAATTAAGAGGATAAAAAAGTCTGAAAAACTGGAAAAGAGAAAGGAGGCTCTGGAGAGAATGGTCTCAAATGCTACGGTGGTAGAAAAAAAGAGGAGAGAGCAGGAAAATGCAATTCCTTCAGCTTAGACATGTGCAGACAAGACCACAACTATGTGGGGAAAAGGTTACGCACCTAAAGCTAGCTCCAGAAGTTTCCAAACTGAAGCTGTTTGCACAGTCTTAAGAAGAAGCAAAGGTGCCCTTGCATTAGGATTAAAATCCAGCTACAGCACAGCAGCCACCTAGGGTACTGCTATGCAAAGCACTGCTGTTACATGCAGCTGGCGCTACACATTTTGGAAAGTGGACTACACATGTGTCAAGGTTTCTCTCCCTCACCCCAGTCCAGGGATGGGGAGAGAAACCAAGCGTTCAGGAACAATTAAACAAATGCCTGGAGAATGTCTGTACACTGTCCAGGCTTTACCAGTAGTCACTGCCACCAGGATCTCTTTAACCAGTTCCCCAACAAAACTCAGGAGCAGAGATCTCAAACTCCTTCTTTGCTTTATGGGACTGACCCACGTTGCCAGCTCTGTACCAGGGCTGAAAACAATTAAGTACCACAGTGGTAGCCTCCTCAGGCGAATGGCTTTAGGCACAAGATTCAGTCTTAGAGATCAGGTTGCAACAGAGAAAACAGGTCCAGATAATATTGATTATATATTATCTTTATTCAGTGCACAAGCATGCATATAACATGAGACTAGCAAAAGATAAGAAACCAAATGATATCTATAGCTTGTTCAGCTCTAACTACACAATAGAGGTATTCCATAGTTACCAGGCTTTTAGAGGTATCAGATGAAATAGTCCAAGGTCTCACCAGGGGATCTTGAAAAGGAACCCCATGGTGCTGTGGGCAGCTAGTCCAGCTTGGCTGCCTAACAGTCTCACTCCGTGTTAACAGCAAACAGTTGACAAGCACTTAGGCAGTCCAAAAGAACTCTTTGTTTTCAGAGGGGAATTCCCTTAACTCTCCTCTAACCTCTTGTTTCCCATATGGATCATTGCAGATATACCCCCCCCCCCTCACCACCAGGTATGGCCATTTACCCAATAGTGAGAGAGTGGGAAGGCGTTCCCATCTCTGGTTACCATGCGCTGTCAGGCAAGGTATGTTTTGATTGGCTAGGAGTTAGGCATCCCACTCCAGCCTCTTCTATTGACCATGTGTCATGTCAGGGACTGCTGTTGATGTGCTAATGTACTGGGCATAGCTTGTCCCATGCTTGGGAAGGGCCGGCAAGTCACTTTCTCTTGGCAGAGGTGTCAAAGTGTCTTGTATATGGAGATGCGGCCTGGCCATCTGGCAAGCCATTTGCACAGGTGACAGGAATAACGCGGTAGTGTTACCACTAGAGCCATCTGGCCCAAGCAGGAAGGATTTTAGAAAAGTCTTTTTCTATATAACATGGTATTTTCTAGATCTTTTCAGAGCACAAAGGCCTTGATCAACAATACAATACTCAGATCTGTTATTCAATGGGCTTACTCCCAGGGAATTGTCCTTAGGATTGTAGCTTTAGTACCACTGCACATATCCCATATTGCCAGGATTCCTCTATGTTTGCATACGTACGTGCACACACACAATGAAAGAATCTCCTGTGACATTCCTGTCAATGGAAGCCGAGCCACATAACAGAGATAGAGAGAAGGCTTTGCCCCACTAGAGGGGTATCGCCAAATACAGCACTTTAGATTCCCTAAAGGAATGAATGGCAGCCATTCCTGAATCTGGGAAGGTTGCATTCACAGTGTCTGGGTTGATGGGCAGGTTATGCCTCCTAGACTTGTCTCCTGTTTACGATGCCCCAGGCAACTCACTGGGAGCCACTGAGAAGAGAACCAGGCCCTACTTGCATATGTCTCCTCTAGTTTCTGCTCACTTGATGGGAGGTAAAAATGTAACAGAGCCCTGGGAACTTGTTAAATATTCCAATTATTTAGCTGGTACAATACAAACCATTTTTAAGCTGCAGTGAATAAAAACAGACTTAGAGTTCAGTTTGGAACGCTATTATTAATTCCATTCTAAGAGGAGTGCTACTTCCTTCCACTAGCTGCTTCTACAATGACAGTATTAAAAAGCACATTACCCCTCAATTCTTTAATTCGGGTCTTCAGATACATACTTCACAGGAAGAGATTTCCTTGCCAAGTGTTAAACAATACAGAACACATAATACCTCATTTTCTGTGTGAAGATCCACTTCTCCTGCACACTGCATGGAACTAAAAAAGCTACTGAACTTCTCATTGATTCGGTCAACCAGCTGTTTTAGAGGGTTTAGCCACCTTTCCTTAACCTAATAATGAAGAGACTGATGTTAACAGAAGTGATCTGGCGGCAAGGAGATTTCATGCGCAGCAGACAATTCCAACTTCGGTCATGTAGTAATTGTTACATTAAAGCTTTAAAATAATTAATAATACCAACAATAAGCACAATCATGCTTTCTGGCATGTGGGCAGGGAAGGGACGGTGCACTTGCCATGTACCAACTGTGACCCTGGGGGATGGAAAGGCAGAAGAGGTCACATCACCACTGAACCTCCAGAATACATAGTGGAGATAAAGATACAGCCTCCAGTTGCCCTGTCTCTAACATCTACATAGCTCCTGAATCCTAGATGGCTGCCCTGCCAATGGCTGTGCATTCCTGGGTCTGTTATTTCTGTAAGGACTTCATACCCTGTCCTCACAGGCATTGGTGCGTGTGCTATGTTTTTATTATAAACAGTTAACAGTTACATATTTCAAGAGAGAAACAACAATGAAAAGAACAGCAAACACAACCAATACACATGATACCTGTGAAATGTTTTGCCTAAAGTCATCCAACTCTTTCTGCTTCTCCTGTAGCTCTAGTGTCATCTGCTGTATTTCTTCAGCCCTTTTGTTACAGTCATCAACAACCTGGCAGGAAAATTCTCTTGTAAACGGCAGAATCAGATGGACAGCAAAGGGGCTGCAAATCCAACTATTTAACTAAAAACTCCACACTAAACCTCACTAGTTCCTATATAGAAAAATAACACAGCTGATATTACATACTCAAGATACAAAATGTATTTTTCAAGCTCAAATATAGAGGACCCAGGACACTGCTGCACTTTATCCTGCAAGTCATGGTCACAGATTCATTAGTTTATTCCTTGAACTGTCCTAGTCCCATGTAAAATGCTGGGAGAGGAGGTCCAGTTTTAAGCACAAATGCTGTGCAAATGACAGGAGCTGAACTCAGCCTTCCATAGCTTACCTCTCCAGAATCCCTCACCAGAACTCACCAACTGGCTCAGACGTTGGGATGGATGCCAACACGGAGAAATGTGCCGAAGAGGGAAGAGATGAGCCACAAGAGAGGCAACCTGTTTGGGCCACTGAGAAGGCCTCATGTTAAAAGAAATGAACCTGCTGCTGTCCTATGGAGTTTGAGTTTAAGATAATCCCCCCCTCCCATTTCTTTTAAAATACAAGAAGCACAGAACACAGAACACATTGGTCTTTGGGAAGAACCTATTTAAAATTCTAATAGATTCAGACTCTGGCTTTTACAACACAATGTTCCTGCTGCTTAGTTTATTATTATTACTATTATTACTAAGCAACCCAGCACAGTGTGGGAGTCAAATACTGGGGGTACATACTGAAGCGCTGAGGCCTGTGAAGCAGGAAGCTTTTGATTTCTCCTCATTCAGTAAAGCATCGATTTCATCCACTGTGTTTGGAAGAGCCCGGAATGCCTTTAAAAAAAAAAAAAGAACCACCTTTTAAAAATCAAATGCGTGCGAAATGGGAGAGAGTTAAACTCCAACCAACTCCAACCAGAGATTAAGACAGACCGTGACTTTGCAAATGTCTGATTTGTGAATTCTTCCAGATCTATGGCAGCTCTGCTTGTACCCCTAATTTCACCTTCCTGTTCACCAAGACATAGCAGATTAACAGCAGCCAACCTGTGTCAGAATCTCCAGTGCTCCAAATGTACGCACCTGCTAGCCGTTGGGAATCACATTTTTTATTCTGGTAAGAGCTCTTGCCCTTTTCAGGAATCTGCAGCATTGGCAACAATCATCCTGATCTTGCAGTGAACCCTGGAGAACCTCAGTGTTACTGGGATAAACCCCCATCAGTGTTCCCTCTAACCTGAGTTAGTGTGAGCTAGCTCACAGTTTTCTAGCCTCTGGCTCACACATTTTTGTCTTAGCTCAGGATGGCTCCAGAGCAAACTAATTTATGCAATAGCCAAATCACTTGCTCACAACTTTAATGCCAGTAGCTCACAAAGTAGAATTTTTGCTCACAAGACTCCACAGCTTAGAGGGAGCATTGGCCCCCATCTTGCCCTGCCAGCTTGAAGCTTAAACCTTTCAAGCCACTCTGAGTGTATCTGAAGGTCAGTCCAGCATCAATGTCAAAACCTAATACCCTTCCTTTCTGGGGAAGGGGTATGGATGATAGTGTACATGCATGTTAATTGGGTTGCAAGGTCAGCCAAAGTTTGCAGACATTAACTGTCTCTCCCTCCCTTCGTTACAAATATCATGATGCAGTCAAACATATTTATGGGTTCATCCTGTGGGAGTATCTCCCCGTGATACCCACTGGAATGTGGGGTGCTGCAGAAACCGATCATCTTGCCAATATTATTCAACATCTATATGCATCCCCTCGCCCAGTTAGTCCAGAGCTATGGGCTGAGTTGCCACCAATGACACCCAGCTCTATCTGTTAATGGACGACCATCTATTTTCCACTCCTGATAATCTGGCCAAGGTTTTGGACCTTGCAGCTGGATGACTGTGGCAGAGTCAGCTGAAGTTAAATCCATCAAAGATGGAGGTCCTGTACCTGGGTCGGGGGAGGAATGGATATGGGTATCAGGCTCCCCACGCTGGAAGGGGCGCCTTCGGTGCCAGCCCAGAAAGTGAGGAGCCTGGGAGTTACACTGGGCCTCACCAGGCTTACAATAATGCAGAGAATACAGTTTCCTCCCTTCTCTGTCAGGAGATTCTGCAAAGGCCATAAGCAGATGAGTGTTTTTGTTTCAACTGCACTATAAGTACTGGCTCCTATGTGGACTCTAGCACTAAATGAGGGCATTACTAGGAAGCAGCCTACAGTTACTCTCCAGAATGGTCCACAGCAAGTTCTGAACCAGAAAGCCTTTCTCCTCAGACTGGAGTTAAAGACATAGGCAATGATCTCCTCTTCTTATGCTCCTTATGATGACCATTCCCCATAGGTTGCTAGAGCATGAGTTTTGCATGCAGAAGGCTGCAAGCATCATTCGTGGTATCACCAATAGGGATGGGCATTAACCATGAAAATACAATTCATGATAGTTTGTGGTTCACAGGATGCATGGTTTGCCACCACCGAAAAAGCCCTGGCCCTAATTGCAACCAATCTGGCCTCGTTAAAGCTTGGGAGAGCCAGCCAATTCTGGGTCCCAGATCTCGGCATCCTCTGGGGCATATATGGGGAAAGGCAGTCCCTCAGGTATGCAGGTCCCTGGCCATAAAGGGCTTTAAAGGTAAGAACCAGCACCTTGAAGCGAACCCGGTATGCTATGGGTATCAGGCTCTCTGTGAATTTTACAGCTCACCTGCCATGGAGAAGGGGGGTCCCCCTCTCTTTGATGTATCAGGAGTTTGACACCATAGTGGAGCCATATGTCCCAGCATCTTACTTGTTTCCTTGGTAGGTAGAGGCTACGTGTCTGAGGGGGTGGGGGATAAGCAATGTCTGAGGGGGTGGGGGATAATCAGCTGTTAGTTCTGGTGGGAGGGATGCTCCAGAGGAATATGTGTTTAGTGGGGGGGGGGTAGTTGGCTGTTAGTTCTGGTGGGTAAAATACTGTGGGATGATTGGGTCCTGATCTTTTATTGCTGCTGTTTGAAACTACTATATCTGTAACCTTCATGCGATAATCTTTAGTTCAAACAAAGAAGTGTCCAGAATGGTATCTATCAGTTTTCTACAGATTGGCTGTTGTTGAGAACTGATATAACCAAGTTTCTGACAGATTATTAGAACTCTGATTTTCTTCCTCAACCTCCTGCACCACAAACATGATGAGCGGAGAGGACAGGGAAAACCCTACAACTGTGGTGGACAGCACTGAACTGGAGCAACGAACCACGGCGGCTCCAGTGACGGTCGTGGAGCCCAAAGGAGCTGAGGGGGGCACGGATCCAAGACTCATGGCCGCCTCTCCCCTCCTGGGCTGAGCCCGCCTGGCTGTTGACTCCCGGACCCAAAGGCCGAGAGATTCGCAGAGGACTGCGCCCAACGGCACTACGGGCACCCATTCCAGGAGGAAGCAGAGTGCATCTGTGATGTGGAGGACACTGAAGCTGAATGTCTCCATAGGGAGTTCAGGGGTTAGGCTGAAGAGATAAGGCATGAGATGCAAAACTGTGGTGGGGAGATCGCGGCGGAGCGACAAAACTTTATCTGCAAAATAGCTTGCAAAAGCCTCACAGCCAACAGCCAATTCCCTACCGTTTCGCCTGTCTTGGGACAGAGCCATAATAGACTGAATCGTTCTAAACAATTGTGCTGGGCATGAGCTTGCGGACGCAATTGTAGCCATATAATACTGTCTCTTAGTAGCCTTGACTGCCATCTCATAGGATCTCATAAACGTCCTATAAGATGCTCTTGTAGCTCTGTCGTGGCAGAGGGTGCTGCCACTGCCTCTCTAGCCATCTTAGACCCAGTTTCATCAGCTGCAGCTCCTGGGTAAACCATGGAGCGAGCTTAGAGCAGGGGCGCAGAGGGCGCCGGGGAGCGATCTCATTGATGGCTGTTGAAAGTCGGCTGTGCCAGTCCTCTGCAAGCTCATTCAACGAGGCACCAGGGGGCTTTGGATCCCGAAGAGCCATCTGAAGTGGCACAGGGTCCATTTGGCTCCGTGGACGAGCCCGAATAGGCTCGCCGCCCAAACAGGGTTGGAGTGGGGTATTTACATGGGCCTTCAAGGAAAAGTGGTTCGACCATGGCACTGCCAAGGCAGTGATCTGGTCCACTGTAAACCCTGCCACAAAGATCAAATAGAGCGTGTGCCCAGCCCAGTGAGTGGGGGCCGTTACACGTTGGGAGAGTCCTAGGGCCGCCATGGACAACACCAGGTTCACTGCCTGGGTGGAGGCGACGTCATTAGCATGGACACTGAAATCACCCAGGACTATCAGTCTAGGGTGTTCCAAGGCCCAGCCTGATATGGCCTCCACCAGTGACAGTAGGCTATTGGCCAGTGTGTTGGGCGGGCAGTACACCAGTCAAATCGCCATACTCTCCTCGGCTTCCCATACCAGGCGATCGGAGCCATAACCCATACCAGGCCAGCACACTCAATCCCCATGATCCCTGGTGACAGGAGCGCCCTGAAGGAGTAAGCCTCCCAGATAAATAACGCCACTCCCCCCTGCCCCCTACTCCATGATTGGTGAAGGACCGGGAACCCAGGTGGGGCCGATAGGGAGAGAGATACTGTCTCTCCCTCTCTCACCCAGGTCTCAGTCACGCATGCCAGGTATACATTCTGCTCCTGCAGGAAATCCCGAAGGACTGTGATGTTATTATTTATAGACCTGGAGTTGCACAGCGCCAATGTTGGATGGGGGTCAGTCTTCCTAACCCCACTGCCTGCAACCTTTGGGATGGGACATAGGCTGGAAGGAGGCCGAGCTAGATTGTTTCTCTGCCCCCTTCCCTTAACTCCCTGCCTAGTCCCACTGCTGTACTTTCCCCTCCCCATAATCACTGGTATGGGTTATGGCTCCCGAATAAGGTTCCCCATCCTCCATTGTTTCCAGTAGAGAGGAAAAAAACAGCAAAAAAAGCAAGGGCAATACATGCCCAACAGAACGGACTCAACATCGCAAAGAATCTCTGCAGTAGAAACTGAAGGTGGAGGGCATTTTTGCAAGCCCAGCAAAACCAGTGCTATGTGCCCGACAGAACCAGAGTCAGTGTGGCAGTGCAACCCAACAGGACTAAGGTCAAATCAGAGAATCTCTGAAGTATAAACTGAAGGTGAGAGGTATTTTGCAAGCCAGAAGAACCAGTTCAATGTACTAGTGCCCAGCAGAACCCAGTGCCAATGTGGCAATGCCAGCTCAATCACAATACAAGTGTGTGTGGGGGGGAGCATTTTTACAAGCTCAGCAGAACCAGTACAGTGTATAGAGTGCCCAGGAGTACCAGTGTCACTGGCACTGCAAGCTTAAAAGGACTGATCTCAAAGTACAGAGTCACAAATCCAAGCAAGGAGAGGGTTGCAAGCTCTGTGCAAGAAAATGGGTCATGAACATGAAGGCCAGAAAAGGGGAGGGATTCCTCTTGAAACTGACATGACTAGTTTGAAACTGACAACAGTGTTTCCAAGGCTGGAGACCCAGTGTTTCCAAGGCTGGTAAACATTTGTATGAGTGGAGACTGTGTGTTCGGAAGTGTATTCATTCACGAACCAGCACAAACTTCCACAAACTGCTTGAAAGTCTGTGGAAAGTTCCTGCCGGTTGACCTGCCATGAATTTTAGTTCGCAAACCACGAAGTGCCCAAAATTTTTGATGAAAATTTGTGACGAACTTTAGTTTGCAAGCCGGTTTATGCCCATCCCTAATCACCAATTTCAGGATCTCAGGCAGTTGAGCCTCCGTCAAGGCAGCTTTATATGTTGATGCATATGAACTAGGGATGTGCATAATGAAATTACCAAGTAGACGATCCACACAGAAATTGCTGGTTTAGGTCAGTGCAGTGATTTCCCAGAACAATACAAACCTGGGTTGTTGGTATAACAAAAACCCCTCTCTAAAATACTTCTTTCTTATTTTTTTTCATGTTCAGGTGCTTACCAGCCACGCAGCATGTGCTCATCTTTTCTTTGATTCCACTGATTTTCTGGGCAATGGCATTCCTCCCTTCCAATCAGATCCTTGCAAGGGAGGAGAACAGAGCACTCCCAGCCAATCACCTTTTGAAACAGGCTGCAGAGAACTACCCCTCTCCTTCGCTCCCTCAGTTGTGGTGGCGGGGACCTTTTCACTCTGGAAGTAGGATGGCCAGGGGCACCTATTTTGAGGGCCCATAGAACTGAAACCCTTGGTCTAGCTCGCTTGAAACTTGGGTACTCTTGAGCAAACAAGCAGCCCTCACTCCCCTGCAATTTAGGTGTCTTTTGGTTGGAAAACAGTCACTCCAGACCCCCCCTGAAAAAATTCCCCACAGGGAATAATGGAAAAGCTGCCAATCTCCATGCCAAGGAAGCATGGCAAACACAGAACTTTCAGCAAAAATGTGTAAAAAAAAATCCTACCAGACAGTCACTGTAAGAGCAGAAAAATGAAATGAATGTAATGCTTTTAGCCAGTGCCATCCCCCAACTGACAGGAATCAGTGGAGGAAAATGAGCCAGCACCAAGAAGCATTTACTTTGAGGCTCAGTAAAATTGAGCCCCATGGTCCAATTCACTTGAAATTTGGGGGAAGAGGTCCTTTAGATCAGAGGGTGGAGTATGTTCTGTGCAAATGTGGGACCATTATCTTTACAAAGAGCTGCCCCTCTAGTAGATTCCCCATTGAAAGTAATGGTTCCAAAGCACCAGAACCTAAAAAAAACTACATGGATTTTAACCTGAGGTGGTAATGTTCTACACGAACATAAGCAGTGATGGAAACACCACCACCCGTACCCTAGATACAAAAGTATAATGATTTTTTTTCTTGGTGTACACCCCTAATGTGAACCCGCTTTAGAAGAGACTGAACAAAAGCCACACAGTTGGGGTTTTGTTTTACACAGGATAACCCTCTTCAGATTCCATGTATCTTTGGTGTGCTAAACAGGACCATTTCTCCCACACTCCATGATTCTTAACCTGAGTCAGGGTCAGTGCAATCTTAAACACTTATTCCCTTTAAAGTCCACTGAATAGACTAAGAAGGATGGAGCTCTCCTTAGGATTGCACTGTAAGTCTTCCAGGTGGTAGCATAAGGGTAGGAGAATGTGCGTGAACACCAGAACACTATTTTTCCCTATTGCAAGTAAAGTTTACCTGGACTTCAAAGCTCTGCTACTTGGCTAAAACTAGCTCCCAAGAAATTACGGAGGAGCAGCACAAAAGAAAAAAGAGACGGACTTCAAAGAGGTGATACAAAGAAGTGATTAAGTAGAAGTAGAACATATTTCAGTTATAATTATTTTTCTCATGAGTAACTGGTAACAAGGAAGTCACAAGAAACCTAAAAATCCAGTATTCAAGAAAGATCATAACTGATAAATAGGCCAATTTCTTAAATTCTTTTATAGAGAATATGACAGTCTGATAATCTGGGAGGAAGGCTGTGCCTACAATTTTTCAGAGGTATTTTCATAATAGTGGACAAGGAATGAAATGCAGTGCATTAGAATTCAGCCATGTCCAAAATCTATAATTAGACATGTAAGAAAAGGCAGCGAAAGACTTAAAATTCCTCCACCCAACAGAGGTTCTGCCAGTGACAGAGGTAATGATCAAGTGCAGCTCTAAAGAACTGTAACAGAGTACTGCTTTAAGAATCCATTACCTTGCCATGGTGATACTTACAGTCTGAAAGTCCTCAGGGAGGTATTGGTCTGGGCCAAGGTTACAAACGTGCTTAGCTCTACGCATTAAACTCTTACAGTTCTCCAAGAGACTACGTTTCCTTTCTTCCAGCTCCTTAAACTGTTGCTGTAACAGAGGAAATAAAAAAGCAGTATTATTGTAATGAAACCTCCAGTGATTTCAAATACAGTACATTAAAGTTTAGTCTATCTCATACCTAAAAAAATGTATGACCTACCAGACAAAACAGCCAACGTGTCACATTTGGTAGCCCGCTGAGGACTCAGTGAGCCTTCTGGTTTTGCTACAAGAACAGTAAAGGCTTCACCAAGCAGGCCACAACAGAGGGGACATGATTCACATTTGACATAGTGAGTCACAACGTTGTGCAGCACCCCCAGGTAGTTATTAAAGGTCAACTACTAAAAAAAACAACTACTAAAAAAAACAATCACAGTTAATGCTTCAGAGCAGGGTCTGCCAGATCCAGGTTCTTGCTGTGGAAGTTGAGTGGGTGATTTTGGACCAGTCACAGACTTTCAGCCTAACCTACCTCACAGGGTTGTTGTGCAGATCAAAAGGAGGAATCCATTACACAATGTTCAACCACAGTAATCCTTCAGATTAGGGTTATGTTCCACCAGAGTTGATGGAACACAGAGGTTAAAAGAATGAAATGTGAGCCAGGAGGTATCCAGGGCAAATCTCACCTCTGCCACAAACTCAATAACTACCCTTAGGCAAATTTACCACTAATAAACAGGATTTATGGAACCATAGAAAATGGTCTGCCAAACTAATTTCCCCAAGGATCTTGCAAAAAGATACCCTGTCAAACTCATCCCTTCACGTTTCAAAGAAACTTCAGCTCAAGACAGCCTGTTACTTTCATAGAGGAATCCATGCTGTAGGTCCCAAGTTATTTATTGCTTTGCATGTTAATGTATTTTTAAATGTTATTTATTTGGTGGATTTTTATCCCACTCATCCTCCAATAAGCTCAGATGGTTTATATAGGTCTCCCGTCCTCTATTTTACCCTCACAACCAGTGGGGTAGGTTAGGCTGAAAGAAAATGACTGGCCTAAGGTCACCCAATAAGTTTCAAGGCAAGAGGTGAATTTAACTCGGGCATTCTTGCTCCTAGTCCAGCATTCTAACAAATACAATACAGCAAGACATTGTTATTTAGTGCTTCATTACAAATATGCTTCTAGTGAAGAATCCACCCACTGACCCGCAATAAAGGCCTCTGAGTGGTCTAAGATGTAACTATGACAGTGACAGCAAGTCCACCAGGAGGTAACGAAAGGCGTAGAGTGTGGTGCCCATTACAAACAGAATGTACTTCTTATGATCTTAGCCACAGGCGCAAGCTCCCTAACTATTCACAGCAGAACCTACATTAAAGAGACCTCCTAAAAGCTGAGGCTGCCTGACTGGTGGGGCACTGAGAGTCAAGCAAAGAGATGCTGGCAGCAAAAATAAATCAGCCCGGTCTTGACATCAGACCCTTCCTCTCCAGCCTGTATCTGTCATCCTGTGTGCACATATGCAAAAATCACCCCTTAAAAATAAACATGAAAAAAGGTCTCTGCTGTCATTTTGGAAAGTTTGGTTGGAAACTTTGGCTGACCACGCCTGTAAGAGTATCCTGGTTACAGTGCTAAAAGGAGTTGATAACAGTGACATGATAAGACCCTTAAAAGCCAAAGGCCAGTTTCTCACAACCTCTCATCTGAAAAACAGGCACACAAACCACTGTAACTCACAATGCCACTAACTTCTATGTAGGAGCAAACAAAACTACAGCTTCTCAAACAGGCAAGTGGACTAGTTTGCAATCAAATTCAACTGTCAAAAAAGGTGAGGTTTTTTATTTTCCCCACCCTTGACCCCCTTTCTCTACCAAAGGCGAAAAAACTTTATTAGGACAAGAATTCCTCTTGAATGCAAACAAAACTATTATAACTGCATTTATAGAAAGGCAAGGAGGTGCCAATAAAACACCTGAACTGTGTATCTGCATTCTATTTAACTCACTCACATGGGGAGAGAAAAAATTCAACTCTGGTATGTTGCTCTCAGACCATAATACAGGTTATTATGGCAAAATAATCCAATATATATAATTCCCTTGGACATTTCCAGCTCTCCCAATGTCTGTGCAGTGCACTCCATCAGCCACTGGCCCATCAACCGCCACTAGAGTACTCGCGTGCCATTGGCTAGGTGCTGGGTCAGCTCCGCTCCCCTGCCCACTGCCAGCCTGGACACAATTCTCTCACAGAATAAACTGCCAAATGGCTGTCTCTCCTGACGAAGACACTTCTCCTGCTTGGCTCCTGTGGGACTAACTTTTCCCTCAGTGGCTGTTGCTAGGCAACCATGCTTGGTTCTGTCAGTAAAAAGGCAAAGGCAGGAGGCACTTTTCAGGCCTTTGTGGGGAACTCATTGGGGTTGGGGTCCTGACTGGGATTGCCAGCTCCAAGTTGGGAAATTCCTGGATATTCTGTGGTGGAGTCTACAGAAGCCAGAGTTTGGGGAGGGGAGAGGCCTCAGCTGAATAGAATGCGTAGAGCCCACCCTCCAAAGCAGTTATTTTCTCCAGGGGGGAGAGATCTGTTGTCTGGAGTTCAGTTGTGATACCCAGCGATCTTCAGGCTCCACCTGGAGGTTGGCTACCCTAGGCATTGCAGTTAATGCTTCAGAGCAGGTCTGCCAGACCCAGGTTCTTGCTGTGGAAGTTGAGTGGGTGATTTTGGACCAGTCACAGACTTTCAGCCTAACCTACCTCACAGGGTTGTTGTGCAGATCAAAAGGAGGAGAGATGAATGATGTAAGCTGCTTTGGTCTCCACCGCGGAGAAAGACTGTACTTTTCCTCCTGGGGAACCACTGCTGCCAATCTCCAGGTGAGGGCTGGAGATCAGTCAGAATTAAAACTACTCTCCAGATGGCAGAGATCAGCTCCCCTGACCTCAGCATTGTGAAGACCTTGAGTTCTGATATCAGAGAGTCAACATGGGATGTTTATTTCAAGAGTTGATAAGTGGAAATTGATAAGAATTGTAATTACTACATGCTCAGATACAGCAATCTTTGTGAAACGGGTATTTTTATTGCACAAAATCCATTGCGTGTGAGCGATAAAAGAAGAGTTTCCCACAGAATTATAATTATTATGAGTGGGGTTTGAGGAGGGGTGGGACCTCGGACAGGTACAAAACCATAGACTCCACCCTCCAAACAAGCCATTTCCTCCTGGGGAACAATTGTTGCCAGTCTCCAGGTGAGGGCTGGAGATCACTCAGAATTACAACTGCTCTTCAGATTGCAGAGATCAGTTCCCCTGGAGAAAACAGTAAGCTCTGTGTCATTATATCCCACTTAGATCACCACAGCAAATTGACGCTGAGTGCCCAAGGCCAGGGCACCCGGTCCACAGCCTCTTTCTAGAGGCTGTTGTATTTATTTCCACAATGGGCCTTATTCCTAGTATGAAATAAAGCAGAAACATTTCATATATATTTATACTAATCCATAGGAGTTGTTCTAGAAACACAGGCATGTAGTGAGTGGGGGAGCCCTCAAAAGGTTAGAAATTAAGCATTTGTTAAGCAAGGCTGTTCTATTCATTTGTTAAGAAGGAATAAGTAGGAAAACAGAGGGAATACATTGAGGACAAGTTTATCTGATGAAACATGCACCTGTTGGACTTCCAAAGAATGAGGAAACCCCCCCCCCAATTTTGCAAAACTAGATTATCACTCCTACTTTCTTGTGAATTACCAGTTATCAATTCACCAATGCCTTGCTGACATCCAGACTGAAGTATGGAACATGTACTACATGAGGATGCCTTTGAAGATGGTTTGCAACTTTTGACTGGTGGGAAATATGGCACCTTAAATGGGAGCTCTCTATAGTAAGTACGTAACAGCAACTTTATACCACCTATACTGGCTCCCAGTTTGTTTCTCGGCCCAATTAAAAGTTCTTGGTTCAGATCTTTAAAGCCCTCAGTGGTTCTTGAAGGACAAGTTCCACCCATAAGAATCTGCCTGTGAGATCTAGACTTCAAAATTCCCTCCCAGGATCTAGGCTTAGCCCTTTCATTACAGGCTTTCTAATGTCAGTAAAAGACTTCTTTTATTTCAGATGGCTCTATAACTGGAATCTTATCCCTGATTTTATGATATTGTTTTATTTTCAATGTTTTATATATCATGTATGATAAAATGTGTGTTTTAATTTATTATGAACCACCATGACTAACTATATTTTTATAGAAAAGGTAGATGATAAGTATTCAAATAAACAGACATTCTCTAAAGTATCAGAACTTTTCTGTATTTTTCATTTTCTAAAAATCTTTCAATTGGCTTTAGGAGGAGTGATGGCAGAAAGTCTCACAAAGTCTAGCAAACACCAATACTACTTCCCTGTGGAACTGAGCTGAAAAATAACCACATTGATAATATTCCATAATTATGGCTGAACAGTTCCTACAGAAGGAAAACAAGATTGCCAAGTTCTTAAAACATGTTCTAAAATAAATATTGTACATTCTGAATAGTACTCGATGCATTTTTCTCCCCAAATGTGCACCACTATATGAACCCAAAAAAATTAAAATCAATCCAAGTAAGACAATTAACAAGTCTCTCTCAAAACAGTTGTCAAACATAAAGGTGACTCTGCCAATTATCTCATGAACAGATGGGTCTAACAATCCTTCCTACTGTTCCATATGGGTCATAAACACGCATTTGCCTCTCACATTCATGGGAAAAAAATAACTGAAATTGCTTAAGATAATGCTAGAGTTCTTGACCTCACGTGCCATGCTGAACTAAACCCACAAAATCTGTAAATGTTCAGGTGACATGAGAAAATGCACATGCATGTTAAACAAAGAAAGAAATATTTTAAGCCCAAAGGCAATGTTTTACTTGACTTAATGAATCCCTGTGTCAACAAGCTCACAGAAGGCACATATGCAGTATCTGTCTCCCACAGAAAGAGTGAATTGGATTATGCCTGTCTGCCACCACTTGTACAGATCATTTTTAAAGACTATCAACAGAGTTTGGTAACACAGGAACAGTGATAATTTCAAAGCACACTGATAAAGCAAAGGAATTTTGCTTACGTTTTCAGCCTTCTCGTGTAACATAAAATCTAAGAAACATCAAACAGCTACTTTACAGAGGGCCTGAAATGAACAGTTCTTAAAGCACAAGGATAAGCAAAGGAAAAAAACATTAAGGGAATTGTGATCTTGTTCCTGGCCAGTTTGTGAGCTTAAGATACGAAGCACCAACCAAATCACTGAGTTATGCCTCTCCATACACTTTTTCAGACATGAAGGAGGACAGGTATGATATACTTCCCTTGCATTTTGTATATGTTTAAGTACCCTCACCTGATTAAAAAATGAAGCCTTACCTCAGCAGCCTGTAGCTGTGCTGTTGCAGCTCTATGTTCAGCCTCAAGTCTGTTCCTGTGGAAAGCAGCTGTAGTACTCTGTAGTACTAAATCTGTTCTGTGTCTGTTCAGGGTCATACAATTCTGCAGAACACAAACACAACCGTCAAACATAATTTGGAAGCAGCTGTTGAAGAAGTGTGAATTTGCCATTCTTAAAACTAATACAATCACATAGGCAAAAGACTGAATCCAGCAAACCCAAAGGGTGATCGTAGACGTATCTCTCTCTTGAGAGCCAGTTTGGTGTAGTGGTTAGGAGCGCAGACTCTAATCTGGGAGAACCGGGTTTGATTCCCCACTCCTCCACATGCAGCTGCTGGTGTGACCTTGGGTCAGTCACAAGTTATTTCAGAACTGTTCTGGAAAGAGCAGTTCTCGAAAGAGTCCCCTCAGCCCCACCTACCTCACAGGGTGTCTGTTGTGGGGAGGGGAATGGGAAGGAGATTGTGAGCCACTCTGAGACTCCTTTGGGTAGTGAAGGGTGGGGTATAAATCCAATCTCTTCTTCTCTTCTTACTCTTGCCCTGGCCTCCGTTCTCCTTGCAGAAGCCCCCTCTCCCCTCACTCAAACACAAAGACCCCTATATCTGCTCAACACAAAAAGACTCTCTGAGTTGACTACGGATGGGCATGAACTGAACCACAAGGCAAAATTCATCATGAATTTTGCTCTGTTCATGTTTCGTGAACCAAAGTTTTAAAGTAGTTTGTGGTGGTTCATGGACAGAACAGAAAACACGAGTTTAAAGGGATTCTGAGTCCCTAAAACCTGTTTTCTGTTTCCTGCAAAAGCCACAAAAACAGCTGAACTGTTCAGCTGTTTTTTGGGCTTTCTGAAAACCTGATTTAAAGGGACCACGGTCCCTTTTAATGGGGTTTGCAAGGCCACAAACTAGTTTGGTTTGCAAATGAACCTTCCGGTTTGATAATGAAACTCCCGGTTCGATGTTCAACCATGAACCACAAACTGACATAAACCGCATTTTTCCGGGTCATACCAATCATCCGTACAGTTGACTGTCAAAGGCCTAGAAAAAATATCCAGCTTAATATCAAAGTAGCTGCCCCTGCAATAGCAGGAATTTCCCTGGACACTTTCACATGGAAGTAGCCAACCTGTTGGAATACTCTAAAGAGCACACTGATTAAAGGGCTTTTGTCTACAGCCTCCAGAGCTCCCACACCCAGGGCCATGAGTAATTGACTCAAGTTTGCTAGACAACAACCCGAGGCCACAGAACTGTCCTCAATATAGCCTTCCCTAGTATTCATTCCCATACCCAGGGAATATCATTAAGCCACTGCCAACAGCCTTGGACAGTCCCCCACTTTGGTAACTGAATCACCCTACATGAGTTGTCCTGCTGTCCTGTTTTCTAGCCAAGCATGCCCATATTTGGACTTCTGCTTCCATGCTGGACCTCAGTGCAGTGGACTCTTTTCTTCAAGGCAAGACAATGCATGTTTTTTCCACTTCCCCCTTAGATTTCCCTTTCACCCCATGAAAGCAACAACTAAGGACAGCCTCACTAGGACTTTATTACTGCATTGCAACACTGTTCTATGTTTTTGCTTTCCCTTGCATTTCAGTTTTTCTAAATTTTATACCTTGTTAGGGGAATGAATATTTTCTATTTGATATTCTCTGTCTCACCTCTCCTTCCTAACTGAAGTGTTATATTATGGACCTGGGTACACACGGTCCTAAATAGTCACCCTGGTGACACACTCTGACCCAACACATGTAGAGGACACTGCATATTATGGGCCCGTATATCAGTGACACCCAAGATGCCTGAAATCCTGATTACAGAATTTGTGAACTTACCTGGACAAAAAGCCACATGACCTGGGACTGCAATGAGGAGAGGGGAAGTGGGCCAAATTACCCCCATCTTGCTCTTCTACCAGCATTACTTCTGTTGCTACAAGACCAGGTTAGGGGCAATTTTGCCTGGCCCTCTCTCACCACTGCTGTGTCCATGGCAGCTTCAGAAATCACAGAGGCTGCTGTGGGAAGATGGAGGTGGGAAAGATTGGCATTGGCAAGTACCCTCTACTGGCATGTCATTTAATTCAATCCAAACGCTTCAGTTTGAGCAAGTATTTTGTGACTAAAGATAGCTATTTTAGGGGTATGTTTAACATGAGATATATTTCAGTTTTAAATGTAGTGTTTTACAGCAATGGACTCCATTAATCGGATGCAAGTTCACATAATACTTATCGCAAGATAACTAACACAGAGTGGTACCTCTTATTCGTGAAACAAATCAAAACCACAAGGCAGCTTTCATACTGCTTGACAACAATTCAACAAAATGGTGGTGGTGGAAAATGCCATGAAGTCGCAGCTGACCTATTGTGACCCCACAGAGTTTTCAAGGCAAGATACGTTCAGAGGTGGTTTGCCATTGCTTACCTCTGGTATTCCGTGGTGGCCTCCCATCCAAATACTATCTAGGGATGACCTTGTTTGGCTTCTGAGATCTGATGAGATCAGAACTAGAAATGGGCACAAATCACATTTTTGTGGTTCGGTTTGTGGCTGACACATGAACCGAGAGGCTGGTTTGCAAACAGAACCAGTTCATATTAGTTCATGAGCCATTTAAAGTTTATACCCCTGTTTTCTGCTCCCTGCGAAAAGCGGGAGCAGAGAACAGGTTTAAATGGCTCCCAGCCAATGTTCCCTCTAAGCTATGGAGTCCTGTGAGCAAAAATTCTACCTTGTAAGCTACTGGCATTAAAGTTGTGAGCAGGTGATTTGGCTACTGCATAAATTAGTTTGCTCTGGAGCCATCCTTCATGAGCTAAGGCAAAAATGTGTGAGCTGGAGGCTAAAAAACTGTGAGCTAGCTCACACTGACTCAGCTTAGAGGAAACACTGCTCCCAGCCATTTCGCCCTGCTTTTTGCTCACCGCCAAAACCAGTGGTGAGCAGAAAGCCAGGGTGAAATGGCTCAGAGCCATGTAAACCGGGGGTTGTCAAACATATGGCCTGTGGGCCGGATCCAGCCCCTGCAGGGTTGCCATCTAGCCCACGAGCAAATGGCTCTCTGCTGCTTCCTGTTTCCTGCATTACAGCTCCTTTTGCCCAGTCTTTCCTATTTATTGCTTCGCAGAGAGAGAAAAAGCCAAGCCTCTCTTCCCTCGATTGCCTGAGGGCTCCTCCCAATCCTTCTTAAGGGAGGGAGGGGGAGGGAAAGACCGAGAGAGAAACAGAGTCCTGTGGCACTTTTAATTAGACCAACAACATTTTATTCCAGGTATAAGCTTTTGTGCACAATCACACTTTTTTTTGGGGGGGGGGAGAGCCAGAGAGAGATATATGGAGTCCCATGACACTTGGAGAGGTCCCCCTTTCCAGTTCTAACAGATGGGGGGGGGAAGGAAACCTAACAGCACAGCTTACATTCTTTATTAATTAGTGGAAGGAAGCAGGAGTCCAGTAGTACCTTAAAGACTAATAAAATTTGTGGCAGGGCATGAGCTTTCATGAGTCACTGCTCGCTTCTTCAGATACAGCTAGAATGGAAGTCCGTCTGTCCTTATATCTTGGAGAGTGATTTCAGATGCCAAATGACAATAGCAGGCATTGGTAATGAGAGAAGAAACCTAGGTCTCAATTCAGTCCAGGAGGATGCATTGTCTTGGGCTTCATTGTCAGTTGCAATTCAGCAGTCTCTTTTTCTAATCTCTCTTTGAAATTCCTTTGTAAGAGAACTGCTACTCTTAAGTCAGCAACTGAATGTCCTGGAAGGTTAAAATCTTCCCCCACTGGTTTTTGAATGTTGTGGTTTCTAATAGTAGTAGACAGAGTAAGAGTCCAGTAGCACCTTAAAGACTAACAAAATTTGTGGTAGGCCATATCAGAGGCTCATAGCC